TTAATTGTCAAAAAACGAAATTTAAAATGTTGGGGGAGGTTTAAAAGTCAAAGGAGAGGGATGAAGTTTCTTTAGGGATACATACCGTGTTCTATGGTTCTAAGTCTAAAATCTACAAATGCTTTGCTGTAGTTATTTTGTTTATTGACGTAGCCTATACAATATTGTATCATTTCTGTACATAGTTTTTCTTGGAATTAAGATTTACAGAAAGAAGTTGCAGGTCTAAACCTATTTTTCTCCTACCAATAGTTTTTATGAAGAGTGGAAGAGTGTATTATTAATGTCTGTTGTTAATGCGATATTTACCTCTGCAACAATATTGGATAAATAAAGTCATCTAGTATTTTAACATTCTGTGGTATTTATTAAATCTTATTGGATGATTTACAACGAGGTAAATAATCAATTTTAAATTTTTATGTAATTTCGAATGTTAATAAAAAAATCCTGCTAAAGATAAAATTTCAACATTAAATATAACATCTTCGCTTTCTCCCAAATCTTGCCTGTCTAAATTAATAATTAAATTTTCATTGCATTTCATTTCATAAAAAAACCCCAAAGAAAAGCATACTTATGTACATTCAAAATTATTTCCAATTAAAAAATGTATCTTTTGTATATTTAGGATTATTTGACATAATGTAATCTACAAATAACATTGACTTTGGAATCCCTAACTAACCACGATATTGTTTGAGATGGCCTTGAACCGCTGCTTAAATCGTCACACTAAAAACCACACAATTATATACTAATTATGATAATGAGGACTAATTGAACACAGGATAATGTATTTTAATTGGGTTTTACCATCTTATCGTTATTTATCAAACTACTAGTTTGCATACTATCTGTAGTTTCGGTTAGTTAGAGGTCTTATTTTTACTAATTTGTGTTTATTTTAACAACCAATTATTATTTTAAATTGACACATTCCAAATGGTTGCACGCAACTCTATTTTAGTTTTGACTAATTTGATTAAATTTGCAAAAAAATTCAAAGTTGCTCAATTACTAGTTTATAGGCCTATTTGTAGCTGCATGAACTTTTTTTAGTCGATAAAAACGTCTGTACAAGGAATGTATAAGGAAAAGTGCACTATACTTCAGTTATTAAAAATACAGTGTGTAAATTAAGTATTGAAACAAATGTGTATTTTTTAAACCGAAATAGATAGAAATGTTCTGTTTGTGCCTATGATTGTTAATAAACGTTCCACAAATTTTTACATCAAAAATATTTTGAAACCCTTTACAGGTTAGGGGGTGGGTTGACTTATTTTTTTCAAATAACAACCCCTATTGAGTGACCCCTCATTTTGAAGGGGTTGTCAAGACATAATCAATGATGCAAACCTGAAGTCGATATGTTACCCCTACCAAAAATGGCATGTATTACGGTTGCTATTTGAAAAAAAAGTCGCCCCAATCCCTACCCTGTTAGGGGGGTTAAAAAATATTTTTGATGTGAAAAATTGCGGATCCTTTGTTAACAATCAATGCCATAAATAGAGTATTTCTATATTTTTTGGTTTAAAAAACACAGATTTGTTTCAGTACTTAATTTACACACTGTACATAGGCTAGCTTCAGTATAGTAAAATATACTTTTACCAACCTCATACGATAAAACTGCTCAATAATAAGGAGTGCCGCATTTATTGAAATAGGGCTGTTCCTTTAATTGTTTGATTTAATTGATCTTCAATAATAATTAATAGAGTATGTTACAATAGTTATTAACATAAACGATTTACTTACAAAATTATAATTTTATTTACATGCGTTTTACATTGTTCAAGAAATTTAACACTTTGAAATTTTTTACCTACGTCGTTGTTTAACAGCTTTAGTCAACAAATATCTCTAATCGTTAATTTTTTGTGAATTCATGCAGCTTTATAATTCTTTAACACCATTATACATAAATACCCAAAAGCTGTTTCCATCGCTATATGTACAGTCTAGTATAAAAGAGAAATACAGTATTAAAACCAAATTTTTATCCTCTTTTTGCTGTGACGTTCTACAGAACTTTATTCCTCTAAAATGATTCTTGGTAGACCGTTATATCATACTTGCCCAAACAACTTGCTTTATAGAATACATACTTAAATTTACACTGCAATTTTAGTTTCTATGAATGTAAAGGGACTAAAATCTTTATATTCGTAAAAACTCACAGCTGCTAAATGTTTAATCCATTTTCCTTCATAAGTTTTGAATTTATAAATTTGTAAAATAATTCACACCATAGCTAACAAAGGAAGGCAAAGAACACCTGCATTTCCATTGCATTAAAACCACTGAACAACAATTGGTACGGTGGTATAGCCAGCAGTACTACTGCCTGCTGTCTGCTGTGGTATAGCTAATAGTCTAATGTACTTCAGTACTTCAACTCTTGCTAGCGAGTTATGTCATTGCTCTCTTATTTAGTATAATTAAAGTCGTAATTCTAACCGGGTTTGTCCACTAATTGAATTTTCACGTAGCAACTACAAATGTAATGAGGCTAGAAGTGCTGGTAGATGGTAGATGCGGGTACAGGTGTGCAGGTGTGGAAAACACTTGGAAACACCGCAAAACGTAGGAGTTGTGTTCGTTAAAATATAGTGGCAATAACCTTAACGTGTACCGGGTTTGATAGTGGTGTAGCACAAAAATTGAGGGTTGGGGTGGTTTTATTTAAAAGTGTTTTTGATTACATACGAAAATACACTTTTTTGTCCTAGGACGCTAGGCACGAGCCCGGGATTGTTTTTTCACAACACTTCAGGTGGCACTATCACTTAGATAAAATCCATTGATGATTTGGCGGGATTTGAACCCGGGACCCCAGGGACCGAAGTCTTAATCACGCTCTAACCAATAGACCAGCTCGCTCCCCCACGAAATTACACTGCATGGAGACACTAACAAAATTTTAAGTCATTACAAACATTTAGACGTTAAAAGAAAAACATTTTTAAACTCCTTTTGTCATTTTTGACCGACTTTGAGAAAATTAGTGTCGTTGATGTCGTTGAAAGTCGAACGTGAAAGTTACTCAAAAGAAATCCAGTTCTTTAATGGGAACCAACAATAAATTAAAATTATTCTTTTAGACCAAGCGCAAAAGTTTTTGAAACTACCATATTAATCGTTAAGAACTTAACACATAGCGGTAGCGCGTGTACAGGAGTTGTTTTAAATTATGCAGGTAATAAGAGTTATCTTTATACGTGCGGTCGACATACCTTACAACTAGAGATAATTGATTGCCAAAATTGCTTTAATATACGTGCAGGTGTGTAATTATAATAATTCGAAGAAAATATATTATAAATTGGGTTTTGTGGTTGAAAATAACTACAGAGAAAAGAATAATTTAGGTTCAATTTTCAATTAGTTGTCTTTAAATGTCCGAACGAATGTAAATAATTTTATATCGTTGGAAAACGTATATTCTACATAGTTGGAAGTGAATTTTATAGAAAGTGAATTATGTAAATTGTATAGACAACAGACAAATTATTACTTGGTCTTATGTGATCGTTGATTATTACATTGAATTTTCAATGTAGGCTATTGTTGGTAAAATGTTATCCTTAAAATCTTTGAAGAATGTTTGAATTTGTATTTATTTATTTGCCAGACGAACCATTGCATAATAAGTTCATAAAACAACTCTTTAGCTAAAAAGAATAAACATTGATTAGAAACAATGATGCAATAACAATATATCAAGATAGCAGGCAATTATCATAACAATATTTTATTATTTACCTATACAAATTGTACTAGTTATATTGGATTTTTTATTGTAGGGCCTACTAGCAACCAAAATCCGTGATATATTTTATATATAGTTGATAAGGGTGAAAACTATTAATTCTCATCATATCCCTATTATTTGCATTGTGAGTAATATTATTTTAATTGTGTGCGCGATCTCTTCGAGTTATCTAAGTAGGTTCGTTTTAAAAGTACACATTATTTACACTTTTCACATTATTTGGTGACGGGAAGACGATGTTCATTTTGCTGTATGTTGGAGGCGAGGTGTCCCACAGAAATGTGTGTTCATACTATTTATGTGCAATTTACTAAATAACATCTAATGTTTGGTTTCAACGACAACAGAGACGATATGAGCTATATATAACGGACGTGTTTTAAATGTGTAAAACTATCCTATTCTGTCCATATAAGGCATTGACATCTCTTTGATGGAATAAACAGTTTATGCGGGTAACTAACTAATTGATCACGATAACAAAAAAAATACTTTTAGATACCTCGCTTCCGAATTTAATTTAAATTACAAAAAATAAAACGCCAGTCTGTACGAAAGAAAACAAAAACCACGAACTATTTACATATTACAACATCAGTCAGCTGTTTAGTAGTGCAGGTGCATGAATGCGACTGTGTCTATGCATGTTCATAACATTCACACTCACAGTTCAACACTCGATATATTACACCGGAGAGACTGTGTCTTCCATTAGACACTGATGAGCTTACTGTCCTCCAGCGAAAATTTTGGAAAAAGATGAGAGGCTACAAATAGGGTTATGTTTACTCTAGAAAAGATGAGGCAATAACTATGAGGAGCCTTCAAGCGTCGATAACTTAAATAATTATAATAATACGGATCATTCGAAGCTTTTGTATGTTTAAAAGTAGATTTTTTCCAAAGCCGTTTGGAAGCTATAGCTAGATCCTAGATAATACTAATCTTTTTCAGCCAATGTATTGGCATTGTTCTTCTGGGGACGATAACAGGAAACTTCGAACCCCCTTTTTCTTCAATTCAAAATTGACACGAGACAAGTGTGCAGCTGCCTATCTTCTTGTACACCTCCCTCTTATCAGTTTATCATGCAGCTATGCCATGCACGATTAATAATCTTTCCTAACATTCAACGTCAAATTAAAATATTTCAGTATCTCTTCGGTGTACTAAGCTGAATTACAATAACTTCTGATCCAATTATCCAAGAACTCACCGGGTTTCTTAGCCAACTCCGAGTCTTCCTCGACCTCCACGAGACTCCTGATGGAGAAGACACTCTTGGCGGCCCTTGGCTTGCCCGAAGGCGTCGCAACGTCGGGTCGACGCGTGGTCAGGTCCATGGTCACAGGTCAAAGGTCAGTTATAGTACATGGCAGCCAGAAGCGCACAGACACTCACTCTAGACGACCAACGACCGCGACACACTGAGCTCCCCCTGCCCCTTCCAGACTGATTAAATCGAAAGGTGTGACGAACACCAATCAGACACCGCCTCCCCCCGCCCCCCGCCACGCCCCTCAACAACAAAATGGCGGTGATGCTCCCGCGGCATTAATTGATTGGCTGGACCGGCGCTGATTAGAACCATTGTATCCTGTGATTCCGACGATTAGCTGGCATGAGTCGGTTTGGTTTTTGGAAATGCAAATTAACCAGTCATCGTGTTTAACGAATCGCGTTCTGGTTTCGATTGATGCAAAGACTATGCTTGATCGTCTTCTTTGGTCGTCGATTTTATAGCCTACTGATGTGGGACGGGGTTAAACGATAAAGAGAAAAGAGTTGCATGATTTAATTCAATCCTTATATAGCCTATAACGTGAAGGCGATTTCTACGAAACACTAACACTACTCCTGCGTTAATAATGGACGGATTTTTTTTACAAACGATTTGTCAAAATGAAGTATTTTTGTGTAGACGCTCCCTTTCACCAATTCCTGTAATAAAAGTCCTCGCGCTTTGCTCCACAGGCCACCAAAATCCTTATTTATTCCTTAGGCCTATATGCCTTAAAATCCCTATATTTCTTTTTTTTACATTTTATTTAATTTAAAATCTGTTCAACAAAAATAGAACAGTAAGAAACTATCATAAAATTTTAATACAGCGGTTAGTCTTTATCCGGCAATAAAGCTAACACACAAACTTTGCATATTGGTAAAAAAGTTTAAAGTCCATAAATTATTGGACTTTAACCTATGTTTCCTTTAACCTATGTTTAAACTATGTTTCCATATCCATAACCTAAAAACTACAACTTAGGTCCAAAACATGGCATCTTTTCAATCTATATAGGCCTACACAGTTGCTGTTGATACTAATGTTAAGTTTGTTTTAAGAAAATATTATGTTTAGGACCTACTTAAACAGACGAATAATTTGTATTAATTACAGCTGTTCATAGTTAACACATGATACACACAAGAGTGTTCGTTTTCAGAGTGAGATCGTTTTCAGTTTCGATAACTGGAGTGGAGTGATTGATTACATTATTTTTGAGTTGACTCTTTTAAGTCTTTTAATACATACTTTTAAGATTTAGTTTGACAAAGTTTAAAAAAATATATCTCTAACTCAGTAATTTTATCCCCACTATAAATTCGGAGGTTGCTTAGCTATTTTGCAAATAACTTTTAAATGGTGGGGAAATCGATTAAAGTGGAAGGTGATATTCTGAAAGAGAATATTTCCTTCAAATTAGTGCTATGCATTTCTTGATAATACCGAAAAAAGGCAGTCATAAGTTGCCTTCAAATAAAAAGATTTGAAAAACACAGTTTTCAATGGATTTTTCATGAAAAACATGTTTTATTTTAATTTTCACCATTAGTCTATTCATAACAGAAATAAACTTCAATAATTATTTGCAACTGAAAGAAAATTTAATTTCCTACAAACTTCTAATAGGCCTATTTATTTCTTGAAAATACTCAATAAAAGCAGCCTAAAGGTGGCTACAAATTAGAACTTGGAAATAGAAAATTGAATAAAAAACAATTTGTTATGTATTATTGGTTTTTTGTATTTTTTCATTTCAAATATTTAATAAAATCAAACTTTCATAATTATTTGCAAATCTACACGAATTAAACTTTCCAACGACCCATTATTTAACAAAATCGGTGCAGTAGAAGAGATTTAGTTGTAGAAAGTTTAGCATTAATATCTCTAATTCATTATTTTCCTAATCTATATAATTAATACGCTACATGAAACTTTGTCGGTTGAACTCCTCCGCCATTTCTTAACCGATTTTATCCATTGACGTCTCATTGGAAAGAGCGTGTCGCGTAGATTTGCAAACTGGCCTTACATTTTTGACAAAGTCCCTTGGGTTCTGCCCCAGTGGCTTTGAAAGTTCCCATGCTATCCTTATGAAGAACATAATTGTTTACATTTTGATCAGCTGTATAATTTAATTGCTGTTATTTATTTTTCGATTCAATGAAACGCATTGAGTAAATTTATTTACTATTTGATTTTGTGTAAACATAACCCCCAAGACGGATCATGTTAGTATGGTTGTTTGTATCTTAAATTTGTGTATTTATCGTTGTTTTGTGTCGCTATGTCGCTATATTATTTGTTGTTTTATTCTTTTAAATGCCTCCGCCGCGACGACAACGACACATATAAAATAGACAGGAGGTGTAATCGTGATAAAGACCTCAGCTACAGAACAGTGGCGCGTAATAGGCTTAACTCATCCCAGTCAGCACCTGACCCTGGACAATCTCAACTATTAGTTTACGAATGCGCTCTAACACTACCCCAAAACTACTTTTCGTTCTCAATTGGCCCTCTATAAATGACCTGTGTTGCCTGTACAGCGAGGCATTTTTAGAAGGAGAAAACCGGCCGGAATGCTTTAGGCTTATCAATAACGAAGATAAACATGGTCTGAGTTGCACACCGGTAATCTTTGAGTTGACTCTTTTAAACTCATTGTAAATATGACTGTTATTCGTTTTGAAATAACTCCTGTAATACTTTGCAATTGCTCGAATTCGAGCAACATGTACGCTAGTCTATATAATTAATACGCTACATGAAACTTTGTCGGTTGAACTCCTCCGCCATTTCTTAACCGATTTTATCCATTGACGTCTCATTGGAAAGAGCGTGTAGCATAGATTTGCAAACTGGCCTTACATTTTTGAAAAAGTCCCTTGGGCTCTGCCCCAGTGGCTTTGAGTTTGTGTAGCCTAAACATAACCCCCAAGACGGATCGTGTTAGTATGGTTGTATCTTAAATTTGTGTATTTATCGTTGTTTGTGTCGCTATGACGGATCGTGTCAGCATGATTGTAACTTAAATTTGTGCATTTATCGCTGTTTTGTGTAGCTATAAGTTGTTTATTTGTTGTTTCTTTCTTTTAAATGCCTCCGACGCGACGACAACGAAACATAGACAGGAGGCGTAATCGTTTACAGATGATTAAATAAGCTAATGGAGTAACATTTCGGCCCGACGAAAAATTGGCAAGGGTTGAGGAACGCAGTTCAGGTAGTAAGAGGTACATGACCTGTATACTTTGCAACCACCCTCTGGTGGAATGTCGCCCAACCGTCACCCCTTGCATCCTCTGACCTCACATGACGGAGAATCGGTGGAATCTTACCTAACCTAACCTAACCTAACCTAACCTAACCTGTCAAATATTTTGTTGTGACGAAGTGTTACTATTGGGCAGGTAGAGAGTTGGACCGTAGGCCACATCTGAGGGTTTCGGGCCGAAATGTTACTGGGCCGAAGTGTTAACTTGGGCCGAAGTGTTACGACACGGCATAATAGGCTTAACTCATCAGTCAGCACCTGACCTTGGACAATCTCAACTATTAGGTTACAAATGCGCTCAAACACTACCCCAAAACGATTTTTCGTTTTCAATTGGAATTGGCCATCTGTCAATGTGTTGCTTGTACAGCGAGACATTTTGAGAAGGAGACATTTTGCTTTAGGTTTATCAATAACGAAGATAAACATGGACAACTTTATATGGCTATAAGTCAGGAAATGTTTGTAGAAAACGTTAAAAAGCAATTGCAGGTTATAAAATAATAATTATACAATATTTAGGCCTACAGGAAATGTTGATTACTGTTATAAAAATCGTATCTTTTTTTGTTACAAACTGGTAATCTTTGAGTTGACTCTTTTAAACTCATTGTAAATATGACTGTTATTCGTTTTGAAATAACTCCTGTAATACTTTGCAATTGCTCGAATTCGAGCAACATGTATACTAGTAACTATTCATTTGGAACTGCTTAGCAAATTTGCCAATAACTTTTTTATTGTTATAAAATCGACCAAAGTTTATGCGATATTGTGAAAGAGAATACAATTTCCTACAAATCACTACTATTTATTTCTTGAAAATACTAAATAAAGGTAGCCAAAAGTTGGCTTCGAACTGAAACTTGAGAACAGAAACTTAAAATAGCAGTTTTAATGTATTTATTTTATTTTTACTTTTTCACCACAAATATTTAATAAAATCACACTTTTATGATTATTTGCAAATCTACATGAGTAGAACTTTCCAATGACCCATTAATTAACAGAATCAGTCCAGTAGAAGTCTAGATTTAGTTGTACAAAGTTCAACAAAAATATCACTTAGATTGTTTTCCACCACTATAAATTTGGAGGTTACTTATAGCTTTTTTGCAAATAACTTTTAAATAGTAAGGAAATCGACCAAAGTGGAAGCAGAGTGGAAGGTAATATTCTGAAAGAGTATAAAATCTCCTACAAATTGATAATATGCATTTCTGGAAAATACTCAAAAAGGCAGCTAAAAGTTGCATCCTAATAAAAAGTTAACCTTTTAAACGACCCATTAATTAATAAAATCGGTCCAGTAGAACTCTAGATTTAGTAGTACAAGATTTTTAAAACGGAATTTTATATAAGTAGAGGATGGATAGATATGGGGTTGAACTTCCTAGGCAGTCTTTACAGTGCAAGTGGTGCTGATGTGTGTTTAAAAATACAACAACTCTATGATCGGAGCGCATGAAAAGAGCCCAAAATTTTAATCCCTAAAAAGGTTCACTAATCTTAAGCATGGAAAGAGCCCGGGTCTCCACAGGTACCTGAGGAGGAGGAAGCTGACTATAAATTGTGTGTGTATATATAGTAGTGTTTTAGTAAATAGTGTTGTGTTTGGTTGGGTTAGGTTAGGTTAAGTTAGGTTAGGTTATGTTAGGTAAACAGACTATATCTTAGTAATGTAAATATCTTTGAATAATATATATTTTATTAATGTATCTTTTAATATTGTAAATAATTTCATGTAATTCAACTGTGTTATTTGTTCTTTATATTTTGAAGACCCGTTGTGAAAGTTCTAAAAAGAGACCGGGCTCTTTTCGTACCATCCTGGTTGG